GATCAGGTAAAGTGCCTAATGATATAAAAGAGGGAATCATAGTTCCACTTCCAAAGTCAGGTAAAACAGAAAGGTATTGTCAAAAACCTCAAGCCACTTGTTCTTTTGAACACCATCAGAAAGATCTTAGCTATCTGTCTTATACAGTGGATAGGGGATAAACTCAGGAGCGTTATACCGCTCTCTCAAGCAGCATACACCAAAGGGAGAAGTGATACCGAACATGTATTTGCTCTCAGAACCCTTGCAGAGAAAGCCATTACCTCATCTGAGTACAAGCTTACTCTTCTTATGCTAGACATGAGCAGCGCTTTTGATACAGTGAATAGGAAAAAGCTCATCGAGATTATATCCCAAAATCTAGAACCTGAAGAACTAAACCTCATCAAAATATTAATAGAACAAGTAGAACTTAAAGTAAGGATAGCAAAGGAGTTAGGTGACCCTATTATATCAAATATTGGGGTTCCACAAGGAGATTGCCTTAGCCCTATCCTCTTCACCGCATACTTAGCATACATATTACAAACATATGAACAACAACAACATCAGACATACAATTTCACATTGAGCCTTCAATATGCCGACGACATTTCATGGATATCTGCATCACAAGAATACGTAAATGAAATAAAGAAAGGACTGCCACCTCAACTTAGAGACTACAACTTAACGGTAAACGCATCCAAAACGGAAGACTATACCATACAAAGGAAAGGAAATGAAGATTGGCGAAATTGTAAATTTCTAGGCAGCAAGTTGGGATCAAGAGAAGACATCAGGAACAGAAAACACCTCTCTCTAGCAGCATTCTCTAAAATAAGTGGTATACTCTAAAATAAGTGGTATACTCCAAAATAAGAAAATAACAACCAAATTGAAAGTGAGAGTCTTCAATGTATACAGCAGTATGTCACCAGTATCTGCCTATACAACAGCAAACTCTGGACAATGACCAAATTGTTAGAGAATGAAATAGATGTGTTCCAACGAAAGTTTCTACGAAGAATATTAGGTATAAAGTGGCCAGAGAAAATAAGGAATGATGAGTTATATAGAAAGACAGGGGAAGAAGAATGGAGTAAGAAAGTAAAGAAAAGAAGGCTGGTATGGTATGGGCACCTGCTCCGCTTAGATGAACACACTCCAGCCAGAATGGCATACCACGAAGCAGAGCGAAAGGAAAAACGTCCGCAGGGGCAGCCGATAATGGATGGCCAACATCAAGACACACACAGGTCTATGCACGCACTTGCTCAAAAATGCATCGAATGGCAGAAATTAGTGAGATGCGCGATGTCTAACGACGACTAGCGTTCAAGAAGAAGAGACTATAAAACTATAAATAGGGTCACTGTAACATCAATCTGCATCATGGAGTGTGCATTTAATTACCTAAACTACTGTTTTTCATTTATTTTGTTTCCTTGATATTCATGTACAGTGTACGTACTGCACTATCTCAAAAACAAGCCTATGCTATCTTGAGATGGGGTTCTTTATGAGGTTAATTTTGCAAACTGAAGAGGGGGCTTCAATTCGAGATGGGCTTCTTTTTGAGAATTAAGCCTATCGGGCTT